GCTGACTTGCTTGCTCTCTCAGCTTGGAGCTAAAAATGGCTAATGGAATTCTCACCGTCTAAATGTCGCTATATGTGTGTTGGACCTGACAGGCTACCTCAACCAGTGGTCTTTCAAGGCACACCTATGCAGATAAGACATCCCGGCGAGAGCACTTTCAAGCTACAACTGAGTATTTCGTTAAGAAAGATGGTTAGCCAGCAGTAAAGAAAAACTCCATTGAGGAATAAAAAATGATAGGATTGATTTTAAAGGAAAAAATCTGTCGCTCATGAAAGGATAAAAATGCGGGCAGGACCGACCTGCATTTGGCAGTGTATAACGGATTATAAACGGACATCGCCAAAGGAAAAATAAATGTCAGCCTTCAGCTTCGACTCTTCTAACCCACAAAAACCTAATGTTCGCTAATCGATATCTCTGAGTATAAAAAGTACCGGATGCAACTTGAGAGAACAGATTCCGGGTGAAAACCCCCTGAACATTTTCGTTCGTATTACGGTCACAGGCGTTCATTAAACCAAAGAAAGGATAGCAGCATTCAAGGACTGGAAGAGCAAACATTTGATGAAATCTTAGTTTTATTTCCGGAAGGAAAAATTATGCGATTTGAACGCAAATATCTGTGCGGCTTTAGCAAAGATTCTATCCGCATGCAGTGACAAATAAAGTTTATTTGTATAACTTACGCCGAGGTCCTTTGTGGTGAAGCATTCTGGGAGTGGGTTATTCTGAAAAATTACAAGGTTTTAAAGTATGGCAGGGCCAAATTGACATGAAACTACACTTGGATAGTACAAACTCCATCTGCCATGTTGAACTCCATCTGATTAAGCGTAGTAAATCGGCATTAATTTTCTCAACACAAACATTTGTGGTGTCCTTAGAATATGAGTAAACAAACTTCAGGTCATCGGCATTTCTGATTTCAGTTGAAATATTATTGATGTAAAGAAGGAAGAGCATCGGACCTAGAGCCGTACCTTGAAGTAGGCCTGTAACTTTCGTCCTCATCTTGTCTTGAGGCAAGTTGCAATTGAGGAAACTTCTCACAGACCAGGTGACTGAATTTCAGCGAAAGACTAACGATGTAAAAAATTGCACAGGTAGAAAGAAGTCGAATTCTCAAAATGCGAATTGCAGAGTGCAACTGGTGGTCAACAGGTACAGACTAGTAGGAATCAAAACGGAAGTGGCAAATGATAGTTCTGAGGGAATAGACCTGTATTTAAGGAAGTGTAACCAGAAAGCAGGGGTTAAAAACATTAGGACTCTTAGAAAATCCACTTAAAATAATATCGTCCACTTACCTTCAAATTTAAACAAGCCAGTTCTTTAGATACAGCCACACATCAACAGTGAAAATTGCCGCTATTGAAAGAGTGCTTTCATGCTTTAGGCAGCGTCGTTTTTAAAAGCAAGCTATCTGGAGTTCATGGGCCTGTTAGCTCATGTTCAGGTCGTCATGATTTAGGGAGATCGCTCCATTGCTCCACAACCATTTGGACAAAAAAATCAGAGTGAAGGTCCAGCCTGGACACTTCTGCGTAGATTCATCGACTTTCCACGAAGACAGGGCAAAGGGGCTACCGAGGACATGCCCTCAAAGCTCAGTCCGTTTTCAAGTCCATGTATTATCCTGTAAACCAGGATGAGGTCACCCCATTTCTGTCTCTAACACAGAGGGAATAAATTAGTCAGTCCAGTCATTCCGTGTAAGATTGGTTTCTCAAACCCTTTACCAGCATTATTGCACGGCGTTGTACTTTTCTAGGCATGTTTGGTCAATTGCCTTGATGGGACCCCGACCGGTCTTTAATAAATTATTATTATTAATTGCTAGTCATGGCCACCATGCTCGTACGACCGCGTCAGTCAGAGATGTGAGATCAACTTAAACCGCGCACATTAAGTTCGTTTCGTCTAATGTCGGAAGTCAGGGAGCTATGAGGACAATCTTATTCTGCACACAGGGCAGGTTGCCGTAAGTTGGCTGTTTTCTTGCAGCAGAGATAAGCGTCCGGTCACGGAGAGCGTCAGTCGCGGTGTGGTGTCGTGTGTCGCTGGAGGGCATGTCTGTGTCAGCAGGAGGGGACGACTGGCCGAGTGCTGGTCATGTGATTGGACGGATTAGAGGAGGAATAGGGGCGCATACTCACAAGGGCTGACGGGTATGAATCCAGAACGTCCGACGTGCGTGAGGTGATGAAAGTATATGAGGGCAGCCGAGAGTCACTGCAGCTGGGCGGGGGTGCCCCAGTTCTAGCCGGCGGGGGTGACTTTGTGTAAACGGTTGTCGCGGCCATCGATCGACAAAACGGAGCCGGAGAAAAGTGGGACTGGAGCAGCTGCTACATGCCATATTCTGGATGAGGCCGAGCATTTTTGCAGCCTTCTGTACTGCAGTGCTGGTTTCATGTTGCTCTGTATCCGAATACCAAAATCATTCTGAGCAGATTGTGCGGGAACAGTAATGTCTTTCAGCTAATATGTCCTTATACTGTCATTTGAATGCGAATCGGTTGGACGCAGATGAAGGACGGCACACTTCTGCATAGTAGAATCTAGAGGCCATTTCTCGAACCACCTTTGCAATCGGTGCAGATTATTTTGATGGATTTTCTGGTTACTCAAGTCCCTTATGACTTACCAGAGCCTAACATTGTCTGTCATCAACAAAGAGGATGCATAGTAAGGGTCCGAGAACTGAGCCTTGAGGTACACCATTAATCACGTCCACCAAGTCGCCTAGAGACTGGTTTTCTATTCGCCACTTTGACATGAATGCCCTCATCCGGCATATGAATTCTGCCTTAATGCTGTCCGTTTCGAACCTTTTACTCAATACCACATACAGGCCAGCCCTGCCTGACCCGCCTACTCACCCCTTCATGAAATTCGTTATACACTGCCACATACAGGCCGGTCCTGCCTGCTTTTTATACATTCATTAGCAGCAGATTTTTCCTTCTATAATGCTAATCTAGTTATGCTTACTTTGTTTATAGATTAGGAGTTTTTTCACTGCTCGCTCATCATTTTTCGAAACATAACAGTTATTCAATAACTATGAATTAAGTATTGTATAGATTCTGCATACCTGTTCTAAAATGCCTGCAAAAGTTATTCTTACCTGCTATGAACGGGCCCCTACGGGTCTTGAATAAAAATTTTTTTATTATTATATCATCTTCGACAGAGACACGCTGTTTTCGATCAACCAGAAGCGTCCTTATCCAGCTAGATGACCTCCCCGGACGTCGAATTGGCTAAGTTTATGAAGAAAGCGTTCGTGCGGGACAGTGTCGAATGCTTTGTGGAAATCGGTGTACACAACATCGACTCCGGAGCCCCCTTCTAAAGCCCTGGTCCTGAATTACAGACAAGTCAGCAGATTTGGAAGGCGGAAATGTCCTATCTGGAAGCTATGCTAGAAATTCTGTATGATGTTATTTTCTCTACACAATGGTTGTAAAGCACCCCTCACTAGAAATTCTAGCGCTTTGCATGAAAGGCAAATCAAGCTAATAGGTCTGAAGCTGCTTGCTGCAATCCTGCTAACTCCGTTATGTAAGGGAACGAGGTTGGCTGTCTTTCACTACAAGGGCTGTCTCCCAGTTCCCATAGACAACGCTAAAAAGAGTTAAGAGGAGGCATCCATTACATTTGCGTGTACAGAGGACAAGATTTGATGTGCGAAAGTGCTCATTCTGTCAAGAGGACCAGGCCATGGAGTGCCCTCCATGCAAGTGCTGTGATGTCGCCATTGGAATGAGAACTTGAAATCCGTCCAAGAATCTCTTTTACAGCTTTTCATATTTTATAGTCCCCTTTGAGATATTCCGACCGACACGATTTCCGTGTGCGTTGCATCCAATTTTATGCTCCAAATAGATAACTCAAATGTTTAAGTTTACTTCTGCCAATAAACTGTGACCGTAGCAAAATCGTGAACGTTCGACGACTCTTGCCCTTTGCTGGATTCCGTGTCCCTTATGCTGAGAGATGTCAGGTGGCGAACACTACGTCTTGTAAGTCGGGAGACTCCAGGCTGGTCATTGCTTCCTGTTTCGTATCAAATTCGGGCTCAATCTTCCACGCAATGATGTCGTCATCCTAGTAGATAGGTCTTATGTCATGCGTAATTCATCCATGGTTATTCCCCAGTCTGCTTGCCCTACGTCAAAGAGTCCCCTCTTCTGTGCATCGTACTATGCCCTCTTTGGAATAATCTTCCAGTAGAACTTAGGTCACCGCCTAAATTATCGGTTGTCAGGTCAGAATTACTTAAGAACCTTAAGGTTCCTAGGTAATTACCTCGGGAAGCATACAGTCATTCATCACCGCTCCTTGCTCAAACACCCGACTTCTGGACTTTAAAAAGGCTCCCCCTGGGTTTTAATTGCAGAAGCTCGAACTTCGATTTGTTCAATGCTCTGTTTCTAACTGGCTGCTAACTTCACTGCTATTACTTCCCATCCCCAAAGCAATGATGGCATCTGCATTGAACAGCTCCATTCCGGTTTAGGAATTCTACCTTGACTAGGAACGTCTCGAACGCCATCATATTCTCCCCTGCAGGGCGGTCATGTCCCACACGAATATTTACACTGTACATATAGAGCCTTTGCAGTTCGTTTTAAGATTCTTGCCTATCATGAAAGTACCCTTGTGGGCACCAGATTAAACAAGTTATTCATTTGTTTATGACTTATTTACACAACTCCAGTTTTCGAAAAAAGAAAAGTACTAACTCTCCCTTTACTACTCGTTTCTCATTATGTTCTCCATAAGGCTCAGATTAGTCCTTAGTATTCAGTTTTTGATTTAAATCTCAACGGATCTACTGCAAAATAAGCGCCCAGTTAGTCAGTCTACTGAGTATACTAACACTGACTTTCCTCTTTGACCTCACCTGTGCCATGCTACTTAGAACTTTGAGTTTTTCGTTTTCTATCGCTGCATGACTGATGTTTTAGGTTTTGGGTTGTCTTTCCGTGATGGGGAGACGGCGTAGTTCACGAAAGCCTCCACCCAAACAGAAAATCATAGAGCCCCTTCCTAAACAGTTTAACTGCCCATTTTGCAACCACGAGCGCTCATGTGAGGTCGAAATGTAAGTTGCCCTCTTTCATTTGATGCTTTATAGGAACCGTGATCGGGGCACGGGTTACGTTCAGTGTCGCATCTGTCTTGAAGACTACCAGTGTCCCGTGAATTATCTAAGTCAGGAGATCGACGTTTATAATGACTGGATTGATGAGTGCGAGATTGCTAATTCATAACTGTTTTGTGTCGATATTTATCAAAATTTTTACTTTGCTTACCCTTGTCTTTCTTTCTGCCCTGAATGAATTCGAGAGGACTAATAACACAGGACTACAAAATAGTTCGAGTGTTTAGGGGTTGTATCTTACTAAAGGTCATGATTTTGTGCATGCTCTCATTTTCCGCATGCTACGTCCCACGTCCTGGTTGTCTCGCCCTGTAAAAATCAGAGATGTCTAAACTGTTTGGTGTGTCTGGCTATTCACCACGCGAGTCAGGTAAGGAACGTCACATGGGCGTGCGGTGGATGCGTTGATCGGGCTCAGGCAGCGCTATTTGGGATACGCGCACAGCAAATGCCACATTGGTTATGGCGGTAGTCTCAGGTGTAGGCTTATGCACTCGCCAGTTAGGATCCAAACCGACTCCCTTTTTGCTTACTGTGTAGAATACTGGTCAGTGCAAGTAGTGGACCAGGGGGTGTGGTGGTACGCGTAAGTGTGGCTTTTCGCTGTGCCAGCCTCCTATGCTGTTTCCCGTCTCTGGTTTTCTTGACATATCTGTGTGGAAGCCCGACTGCCCAGTCTCCGATTCTCTGCTTAACGCAACCTATATTAAATCATTCAAACTCTCCTTGTGCATGTCTTACACCCACATTGTCGGCTCTCTCCATCTGTGCTGTTAAACGGCCACCGATGCGATTCTAATTTAGGTTTTTGTCTACTTGGTAACCTAATGTTTCATTCAACTGGCCCAGGACGAATCTAATTAAACGCTGGTCTCAGTCCTGAAATGCAGTCTCGATTAGGAATGATATTTTAAGTAGGGTTGGCAAAGTAACTGAGGCGCAAGTCACCGTCCTGCTGTAGATCACGAGGGACATAGCCAGAAGCGACGCTGGAACTGTCATTTGTATACGAGCATCGCAAATTAGTGTGGAGAGCCCATACCACTTGTGTGTCCATTTTTGCCGGGCGCAGTTTTTGCATGCAGCCGGGAAAAAAAGGTATTACAAAGCTGGCCTGCTGGTGTGACTGGAAAATCTTGGGGTTTTTCTGTACGACTATCAATGTTTAAACCATACTTAAGTGTCCTTTCTAATCGGAATCGCATATCAGGATCTCGATTAACGTTTCTTGAGATATACCCATGATTAGTTTAGTCTGTATGAGGCTTCACTTCGTTGTCGCCCACCGCGTTACTTGATGGCCGGCAAAACACACATAATTGACTCTGTCATGTACTTCCTTATCCGTACTCGGTACGACTATGATCATGCCTGATTTTGCAGACCGTGATAATGTGGCGCATCGTATCTCTCCGTGCGTGACGATCGCCTCACAGAGCTGGGATTCTCCATACACCCTCTTTCAGCTACGTGGACAGAATACCTTATAACCACCCTCATATCTTGCCTGAAAACACTGATTCAGGTTCAGAGTTGACCTCCCTTTGGGTGCCTTCGGGTAGGCAGAGGCATCGGATCAAGGGTGGCAACAATAGACTGAGAAGGCAGGCGACCGGGTGAACATGCCGAAACCACCTCAGTCGTCTTGCTCGGATGACAAGAGATACCCTTGCCGCATGACACATCGACTTATTAGTGTGTCCTCCAGCGCGCTCCATGTAACTTCTGTTGCATCTCACTGATTATTTGGACTCCTCGCGGCTATTCTATACAGCCGCAAAACATTACCGGAAAAGATTTCCAAAGTCTTAACCGATGCTCGTGCAGCCATTCCTGTATGATGAATGCAGTATTTGTTGTCAGTCTGAAAGGGTGTAAACTGTGCGTAGCCATTAGCCGAAGCTGGAAACTACTTTACGCGAATGTTTGCATAAACATCGGCCCCTGACCCGGCAAGCCTTCAGACACTAGCATAGCTTTCGCTGTGTATGGTGTCATTTCGGTGTTCGTCAGCAAGAACTTACCTCATTCCCAGGGGGGTCAGTGCATTCAGCTTCGCAAAATGATGTTATACAGTAGGTGGGCTAACTCATGAAATGTTAACCGAAATTCCCAAATGCATTTTCGTTTCGAAAAGATTAATTAAGTAGGGTTGTAAAACTAATCATCATGCAGCATAATTCTATAATAATTCCGTTATCTCGGAATGCTGGCTTTCAAACGAACATCTTTTCATCCGCATGCAAAAACTACTCTAAAAATGGCTACTCAAGTAGCATGCATTTTTCTCATTGATTTCCAATACCCTTAAAAATTCAATCATAGTTCATAGAAAATATGCATGCATATATTCATTATTTTACTTATTCGGTAGAAACTGGCGTTTTCTCCTAATTTTATAGCGAAAGGAAGGGTATGATTTGGTTTTTAAAAAGTTTCTAATCGTGAGATTTTTTAATATCGTGAATTGGCAGTTCATAAACGTCACATCCCTGCATTTACCAATGTATCTTCTAAATTTAACAATATGCTCAAATCCACCGTCAAATTTATGATCTCCATACGGTCCACTCTGAATACTGTAGAGAAGTGTACGGTTCTCCGTACGCGGAAAGTATACAGCCTGTAGTTTGGAAACCCTGAATGCAAGTGTTACGACAGTTCGAGTCCAAAATTATTCGGGAATTGAAAAAGTTTTTGAAAACCGATTTATACTCTTCCTTCGAGTATAAAATTGGAATAAGACGTCATTTTCTACCGAATGAGCAAAAAATTGAATATTTTACTGCATGCTTACCATAAAATATAATTAAATGTTTAACGGCATCGAAAATCAATGTGAAAAATACATGCTACTGAAGTAGCCATTTGTTACAGAGTAGAGTTTTTGTTTGCGGCCAAAAAGATGTTCGTTCAAAAGCCAGCATCCCGAGGTAACCGAGTTATTATAGATTTATACCGCATGGTGATTAGTTTTACAACCCTATTTAATTATTTTTTCGAAACGAAAACGCATATCAGAATTTCGGTTGACATTTCACGAGTTAGCCCACCTACTGTATGCGATGACATGCATGCGGCTGTAACTGGCAATCTGTGTGTTAATGTATTGACTGCCTGGTATGGGGCCTGTATGTATCCCTGAGGTACTTTACTAGCATCGTTTGGTGAAGTCTAACTTACTTGGCCGAACTTGCTTGCATCTGTTTCCGCGTGTAGATTATGCCAGTTTTTATTGTGGCATAAATAGATCGTCGTGCCCCTCTTATTTCTTGTGTTGGCGGCCATCTCCAAACAGCTTGTTCGATTCTGATTTTTTGAATGAACGTCAGAGCTATTGTCTCTTTTTACCCATCGCCTTTGTTGACGAGACTTCCAAACCGTTTTGTCTTGTCACGCAACAATAACGCATGTCCAGAATAAGCCTTTATACTGCAAAAATATACAGATAGATTAACTGGACTAAAGACCGCATGAAATTCTTCCGTTTCTGGGACCTAATCCAACAGGCTAATTGTTCTCCTAATTGTTGTAGTCGCACAATAAAAAGACAAATGGCCACCATCAACCTCAGTCGTCCAAATCTTCGGGTTCTGAGGCAGTTTTTAGTGACCCCCTTGGCGTAGGAATCGCAGTTGTTGTGGATCAAGGACATTTGGTCCGCAGGACACTCAGAAGTAGCACGCATTTCGCTGAAGCGCAATATCGCTTTTCTGCATGTTTCCTGCCTCTTCTTTTGAGTGCTCTCTCACTCACATTTTTGGTCCTCTCCGGATTTTAAGTTAACCGCGTCAGGGCAGCGGGCTCGTGGCCCGGTGGGTAGAGGCGTGGACTTCTAAACCAACAGGTCTCGAGTTCGAGACTCGGGTGTTCCACACTTCGGGCTTGGGTATGGCTGGCTGAGGACGGCTAATAAGCCAGAAATGGCCATTCCAGTCTCCCTTTGTCGGTAATACCATTCTGCTTAACCGCGTATCTAATAAGTACCCTCCATTTTAGTTGGTCGTTGGCCCACTCTCGAACAAGGCCGAACTAGCTGGCGTGGAAGCCAACCGAACCAAGGGCGGGTGGGAACTGATTAATTGCAACCGCCTCAAGCCAGGGCAGAGTTCGGACGAGATGACATTCTGCAAGAACTCGCCTCCATCCTGGCCCAGTGCATGGTCGAACGGATATATCGAACGCCTTTAACCGGTTGTGCTCCTGACCGACTATCTAACCGTTTAAGACGACACCTGGATGCAAGCTTGAAGAGTTGAACGAGGTGACCCTCGATCAGTGATGTCTGCGGTGGTGATACCTTCTGGGAGGATGGACAAAGCTTCAAATTCGTACTAAAGGATTATGATGGCGGGGACCATGCTTACGCCTCATCTATGGCAGGCGGGCGCTCACCGATCGTGTTACGGGAATCACCCATTCCGTTGCGCTTTGGGACTCTGTCTCTCTCAGGCCAGACCGGCAGCCGCACAGCGGTGTGTACTACAGGCAGAATAGCATTACGTACAAAGACAAGGGAGTCTGAAACAGCCATGTCTGGCTTACCAGCCGTCGTCGATGGTCAGGGACGCTGGACTTCTAACCAACAGATCGCGAAATCAAGTCCAAGGTGTTCCACTTTTCGGGGTTGGGGATGACTAGCCGACGACGGATAATCAGCCAAGAATAACCATTCCCGTCTCCCTTGTTTTTGTCGGTAATAACATCCTGCTTAGTCTATGTTTTGGTCGTACTCTCACTGATTTCCCTGCTTTCGACAAAGTTGACGGCTGCACTCGCTTGGTAGCCTTGATGTTCGCTCTCCTCTCTACTGGCTCCTCCAACTGCTTCGTTTTCACAATGGCTGTGATCTGTAAAGAAGTTTGCTGTTTCCTATATGTGAGGATCTGCGACTGGCATGGGACTCGAGTGATCGTCGGGGGCCTCGGGATGCTGCCAGTAACGGGCCAATGACAGACATAGTCAGCACAGCAAAACGCGAACACAAAACTAACAGTATTCGAGAAGGATAGAGAAGGCGGACTCTTCTGCAAATATTATTGCGGTCGGTATACTCGGGGCAGGCGGTGGCGTTGCAGGTGGAGCCCAAGTATAGGGATGTTAGGGCCA